GAGAGCTCGGTAAACCAGGGTCGTGACCTATCACAGGAGCTTGGCTACCGAGAAGGGTGGGCGAGCGATTAGTAAATGAACAAGAATCTCTATGCACGGAACCTGTTGCGATCTCCTTCTTGCTGGTCGGTCCTGGCAAATTGTCTTCTTCCCTGTAGCCGTATCCGTATTCTTGGGTCTTGCGAGATAATTGCTTCACGGTACTGTTTAGTTGATGGTGGTGAGTAGTGTCAGGGGGGGTACATGCGCTGTGCCGTGAATAGTGCGATTCGTAGCGTACTGAGCAAATGTCCATGCTTGTTTTTTTTTTATTCCTTCCCCCTCCCTCCCATAGACAGTAGTGTCCATATCCCCTCTCACTAGCCACTACGACATGAACGCCAATGCTTTTTCATGCCTAGGATGCACCTGTCAGATTTTAGATTGCCTACTGGCCAAATGCCCACCTTCGGGACCGAGGAGAGATCGAGGTTGGAACAAAACCCACACCACATACTACCCAACTGCCACGCACATTGAAATCCTCCGTATGATATGACCCGACTGCTGGGAACCGCATGGGTAGCAGGGTGGTTCGTTCCGTATGGACCAGGAACACATACAGTCAATTGGACAGGGGAGAAGAAAAATGATTACTATTCAAATATGAAATGCTCCATTACTGATCTCCTTATCGTTGTTGGCAGACACCTTGGCCTGATTGGGGAAACAGTGATTTGGAAACTGTCCAGGTCCCCTTGAAACACTTGCACTGCTACCTTCACGAGAAGCGCTTGCTCAGTGGAAAAATGCATGTAATATCTCCATCTGTAGGATCAAGATGCTTGCTGAATTACATGCTTCGTGGCGATCACCTCGGACTCGCCCCACTTTGAAAAGTCTCCATGCTGATGCAAGATGCTCATCATGATGATCCTGAATGAATATTCCCGATGCGCGAAAACAATCCCGTCTGGTCTGGGTTGGCAGAGACAAAGTTGCTGGCCTCATCATGGAGCAGTTGACGCCCAAGGCTCCAGGCACTGACTTTGACTACGACAAGGCTCCGGGACGGACAAGAATCAAAATCCAACAAATGCCGGGCCGCCCCCTCTCTCTTTCGCACTCGCCTGTCCTTGTCGCGAATTATCGAACCATCAGGTCATGAGATCTAATTTAGTGAGCAGTTGGGACGGGGTGCAGGCGGCCAAGGAAAAGTATTCTACAGCCCTGTAAGATAGCTAATGGATTTAGGGTACAATAGGTATGGAAAATATGAGATCCAGCCCAGGTACCAAGAGAACCCAGGCGTGGCGATTTCTCACCCCCTCCTCTGGGGGGAGGGGGAAAAAAAGGAAGAAGATTGATTGCCGTCCTGTCGGAATCTGGACCATCCTGTCGGGTTCACTCGTCATGCAAGTGCCACGAAACCACCCCGCCGGTACCGATCCTAGCGCGCACCGACGGACTGGATCCCACCAACGCATCGCATCTCCAAGATATCGCATCACCATCTGGTAATGGTAATTTTGTAATTTAAAACAAAACGATACGACTTGCGCTTTTATTAGACTAGGGTGCCATACATCACTGCTGAACATGCATACCACAATCCTCTCAGGCGTCTATGCCTTCACCGTCTCACCAAACATGTACATTTATTGCCAGGTCCAAATTAATTCAGATCGTATTGGTGACCAGGACTGCTGGCAGCTTGCGATCGACATGAATGTAGACTGTTCCTCTGTCAAACTCTATCGATCCTATCGATTCATCATGATATGATATGCAGTCGGTCTGACCCAATCATGGTGTCCAATTATGAATGCAACACGAGCTTAAATAATAGAATTCAAATAATTCCAGAATTAGGATATTTCTATTGTTTGACTATGTTAGTCAAATGCATCCACGCGGTAGTACCGGCACACAAGCTCCTCGCCATGGTGGTATATTTTGTCCCTGGCCTGATTACTATTCTCAACTTGTGTGACGCTGCCAAAAGTCTATTTGTGGTGGTCTCCCAAGATCTTGTCACCCTTCTGTCTGCACAAGCAGGGCTGTTTGGATGCTCCAGGGTTCGCGGTCGGTGAGTTGATGAATTTACCCCCAAATATCAATTTGCCGGGTGTTGCTCAAGGTAAAGTGGTCGCCGACTGGACCCGCATATTGGCATCATTGGCATCGACCACATGACTGCAGGTTTGTAGCATGGTAAACGATCTAGACATGCAAGCGACAGGGTCTCTGGCGCGATGTGATGCCAGGTTTCTGTACGTAGATTTTTTTTTTCAGACTTAATTGGTTTTATTTTATCTATTTGTTTTGAGTTTTCCATGTACAGTACATGGATGCAAATAATTGATGAGAGTAGTAGTTCTTTTGATAGCAACAATTAAAATGTAAACATATTGACAAGGGAATACATTCAGGCTCGACCCTAGTCTCCAGTCTTGCGAATAATCCTGGGTATCTGTTTGAGAGAGTTTCATTCAATTTCAGCCACCCACAGAAATCCCTCTGTCGGAACCGTAGGGCCATGTCCAGCTAGCGGGGGATCCAACGGGAGTGCCGCACTTAGGTCGTCCCAACTGAATGGTTCGGGAAGCCACCAAGCTATGAACTCAAAAGAAAAGAAGAAAAGAAACAGAAAAAAAAGGGAGAAAAAAAGAAATAAGCACAGGGCAGGATTAGATTAGCGACAAGGCGAACACGAATTAATTCCTATTGGGTTTTGTGACTGCTCACTGAGGAGGACCTTGCTTCTCCTTTCACGCTCTACATTTTCCCGAACCCATGACGGTCTCTTCAAACACGACCTTTTTTGCTTTTTTCTTCGTCTATCCTCGTCTCCCTGCAAATGTCCCACAGAAGGAAGAATGGAACGCAGGCCCAGTCAGTTTCACCGCATTTCTTGACATTCTTTCTTATTCTTGGTTTACATGTATCTTATCTTGCATGCAGTAGATTTTGGTAATTACAATTGACCAAAAGAGCATGGCTTGCGATGTTTTCTGTAGCTGAGCCACAAGGGGCAGTGAGGAAGTGAATTTCTCTCAAAGTGAAGATCTCTTTTCAAAATCCACCACGACTACTACACATGTACTAGATGATTGATTTCATCTCTGCTGAGTTCCAGGGTCTTTAGTGATGGCACCCCACAGATTCCCTCTTCTCATTGGACCTGGAACGGGGTTTCAGTCAAAATACCTACTACACTGCAAATTGAATGGTCTGCGTGGCCATGACCTACCGCTAACGGACAGGAAATGCCCTGGGGGGAAGGGGCCCCGTCTGCCAGATGGACATGCAAAATACCGCCCGCCTACTGTGACTACTATGTATCTCTTGTCCATAGTCCCGAGGGGTTGGTTGGGCTACGCGCCGCTCCGCGACAGGTCACCACCCCGGCCTCGATGCTACTCTATACGCTTAACTTCTCCCACTCAAGTATAGTTTGGAACCTTAATTGGGCTTTCTGCTTGGGGAGACGCGGCAGCAGCAGAAGCAGCAGCAGCAGCAGGGGGACACTCTGCTGCTGCTGCCGCTGCTTAGTCCTGTCCTCATTCCCCCTCCCCCACCCCAAATTGATTGACCGACGGGCTGATTTGACAATTTTTTTTTTCTTTCCTCCCCCCAAGAGGAGAGCGCCGTTCTGCCGACCCGCACAGTGGTCACGATGATGACTTGAAAGGTCCCGGGGAAATCATTTGCAGCGGCTCCCGCCCACATCCGTCCGAGCCAAATGTCTTGTCCTTCTCGGCAGCTTGGGAAACACAGTGTCACGGTCTACGGGGCGAGCCTTGTTTTTCTTTTCTCTTCAGTGAGCGTGAACTATTCGTTCTACAGCAGGTTGATCGGCAATGCATCTTGACACCATCAACCCTCTCAACAGGTTCCGGAGCCTCTGGCTTCCGAGATTGTCGAGTTGCATTCTACCATCGATCGATATTTGACTAGTAACCAAGATTTTTTTTTTCCTCTTGCCAACCTGCCGCTGCCCTTTGTCGTCCACTCCGCCCCACCAAGTGACATCTCTTGAGATCATTGAAATGGCTGTCTCTCTCCATCGCAAAGGGTGTGGGTAATGAGTATGTCCATTGGACATCGTGACGTTGATGAAATTAGGTAGTGTGAGGACACCCCAGACAGGTGGTGGACATCCCGCTCGTGGGCGGCATTGCCCTATTCGCCATGGTAACCCAATGATACACCATTCTGTATGTGATTGCATCAGGGATGGGTAAGGTTGCCTCGTGGCAATGCCGTCGTCCGTGGGGAGACCAGGTGTGCTAACGGCCGTAAGCCATCATGCCCCCCGTAAATGCACCAACTGCTGGCCCTGCTTGCTTGGGGTGAGGAAATAATGGGCTTGCCGCACTGCGCGTTTGCTGCTACTACGCTGCGCCCTTGGTTTGGAAATTGCGTCGTGACCCCCGGCCAAACCTGGAAAGTAGGTGGGCAGGCATGTAGACAATAAACATTGGTAGGGCTATTCGCATCCGTGTTAGTAATATCATGACATGATATTGTTTTTGACCCTTGGCGACCTGAACATGAGGTTTGTTGAGCCGCATCGAAAGTGACACCATGAGATTGCAAGGCTCATCAGCTGGAATAGCATCGCGAGGTGCGCCTGTAAGAACCCCTACATCCGAAATGCAAAGCAACAGAGTGACATTCAAGGGCTGCCTATACCTGGTGCACCTTTGGCTTGTACCTTGTGTGTACACTGAAATCTATAATGTGATCCTGCCAATGTCTCGAGGCGTCTGAGAAAAACGCGGGTCCTCCGCTTGCCTATTCGAGCGCGGACAGACCAGACAGACATGGCTCTCGATCCATACACGCTACGCTGTTCTGCAGGTCGAAAGTCTCAAGCGCCCAGTCAACACTCCTTCACATTTTGTGGATGGAAACGGCTCGAGGCTCGAGCACACCAATATGCCGGCCCCTATGTACGTAGGTAGGTAGGCAAGGGATATGAAAGACAGGTAGGTAGATTAGATACTTGCGAGTGGCTAGACGTTGGCGACATCGCTCCGCCATCCCCACCCTCCGACGGCGTCTTCAGCCAGCCGCTTCATGCCTGAGGCGTGGCAGATCATCTGGGTGACTTCCCGAACTGCACGTACCTGCTCAACGGTTGCGCCTCCATTCAATGCACCTCGGAGGTGACCCTTGAGCTGAGGGTTCACCTATTTTGCGCCAAAGAAAAAACGTGGCCCCGTCAGTATCCGCAGGACCCTTGGAAATTCAGAAAAGGTGTACATGGCTGTAGGACTCTTGCAACTTCTTACTCTTTTCCCTTTTTCAGCTCGCATGTCAAAATAGAACAAACACTTACATCCTGCGGAATAAGACCCGCGATCAAGACGAAGGAGGTCTCGGTAGGCGAGAGGATCCTGGTGTTGCTCAAGACGTGCCCGTATTCGAGCCGGGCAATGAGCCCAAGGTCTTCGGTACCAGATCTGTCCATTTGCCCCATGACCCGCTTGGCTATCTTGCCGTAGATCATGTCGAAAAAGGTACGTCCTCTCTCGAGGATCTCGGAATACGGCACGTTATGGATGTCCTCCATTCTGCCTGTCGGCGAAGGAGCGCCAGGCTCATCGATGAGCTCGTCAGGCGTAACCTGCTTCAGTGACAGCAAGGCGTTGATCGTCTAGTGTGTATGGTGAGTAACGTGTGATCATTGAGATAGCATATACATGGATCTGCAAAATAATGGGAGCAATTTCATGGGCCATCTACCTTGGGCAGGCCTCCAACTGCAGAGGTCTTGATCAGTGCCTCTCTGATCCTTCTTGAAATGGCCAGCTTGTCTTCGTGGCTTGGCTTGACCTCGGCACCATGGCTGCCGTGCTCAAGAGCAAATGAATAGACCTTTGCTATCTCATCCGGGCGGTTCAATATTGTCAATGCCGAAGCTGCAACAATGTACCAACTGTGCTGTGGTAAGACGGGATGATTCCGCAATGCAGATAAAATTGCTGGTGTCATGACGGCTGAAGCCATCTTCATGTCCAAATCGCCTCAATGAGCGAATAATGCAATTTTGAGTGATGTATCATAGTCGAAATCCCGCCTCGAGCTCCGGAGCATACGGGCACGGGGATAAATAGAAAAAACAAATGACCGGGAGAAAATAAATGTCCGGGATCATGATCTCGGGCCTCCGTGGCTGGGAATCGGCGGCCCACTTCGCCGTTGTTTGCGCCCGAGATAGCAGTCACGTGGGCAGGCTCCTTCCCGTCAACTACCTAGAGCCAGCCTAGTACCTAAATCGGGGTGCGTCATTCCGCGCCGCGCTCCAGCTCCAAAACGTGGCATTAACGCAAGTGCTGCTACCCGTTGTTGACCAACACCCAGTAGCAGGCAGCGCATTGTTCATCACAAACGCATCCTCACATCAAAATGGTGGACACTTGACTTTGTCTACCCACCAGTCACTCCCATTTGATTCACGCTACTTCATTACGGCCACCATCGCAAAGATGAGGCTGCTATGGTACGCCGGGGTAAGCTTCGACGATCCTCCCTGTGCTGCTGCGCTTGCCGCTGCAGCTGTGTGGGTAGCTAGGTCCGTCAGAGCTTCAGAGCTAACCACCCATCGTGACAGTCTTCAGCCGCGCTCGCAGTGGGCGTGGTCACGTATGCCTTTAATCAGCGGGCCAATTTCTACTCGGCTATGGTGTATCTTTCCCAGAATAACCTTAGTCTCATGGTGAGTGTAGCAAACTGCCCCTATCTGCTCTGCACGCCGTCCGGAAGCACCGATTGACTGACCAGTTTCGTCTACCTAGATCCTCATCAACCTCATCCTCCTTGTCTACGGAACTTTTGTGTACGGCCTTCAACGAGTGTGCTATGGCCAACTCCGACCCGTCGAAATCGAGCAGTTGTACGAGAAGGCCTGGTTTGCCGTGACAGAAACATGCCTGGCCATGACCATCTTCAGGGAAGAGGTTGGGGCTTGGTTTCTTGTCATGTTCACGGCTCTGGTGACTGGCAAGGTCTGGGAATGGATCGGCGAGGGCAGGGTTGAGATTCTCGAGCAACAGCCACCAGCAAATCCCCGATTGTTCCACACGCGCCTCAGCATCTCGCTGCTCTTGAGCATCATCTACGACACATGGCTGTTCTCTTACACGATAAATACCGTCATTCAGCAGGCACGCCCTAATATGATGGTCATGTTCCTGTTTGAATTTGCCATCTTGAGCACCTGCTCGTTCCGAACCGGCCTTCGCTACATTCTGTCCCTTGTCGAGATGAACATTGTCAGCAAGCAAACCCGCACAAGGCTCGAGGAACGTCGCAAAGAAGTGCGCGAACAACGTGCAGACATTCTTCGCCGACGTGAATCGGGCGATGCTGCCGAGTCCGAGGCAGCCAATCAAGAGGAGTTGCCCAATGAAGAAGACATTGACGAGATGGACATTGAAGTGCCTGGTTGGGAAACCAAGGGGCAGTGGGTATTGAGCCTGGACCTCTTTGCAGGTAAGTTGAGCTTCGGCGATTCTCGGAAATGCCATACATGTCTAATAACTTTCAGACTTTGTCAAACTGGGCGTCTATGTCGGATTCTTCGTTGTTCTCATGATGTTCTACGGCCTGCCTATCCACATCATGCGGGATCTATTCCTTACCACCCGCTCATTCCTCAAGCGCCTGGGTGCCTTGGTGAAGTACCGCAAGGCCTTGGCAGACATGAACAAATATCCCGATGCCACTCAAGACGAGCTTGAACGTGAAGATACTTGTATTATTTGCAGAGAAGAGATGAGACCTTGGGATGCAGCAAATCCAGGAGCTGTCGAGCGATCGCGCCCAAAGAAACTCCCTTGTGGCCATATTCTACACCTTGGGTGCTTGAAGGGATGGCTGGAGCGACAGCAAGTATGTCCTACCTGCCGACGATCCGTTGTCGTCGATGGAGCAGCCCCCAATGGTGACGGCGCAGCTCGACCCAATGCAGATGGCCAGGCGCCGGCTCCTGGCGCGCCTGGTGCTGTTAATGGTGCTGCCGATGGCAATCAAGGCGAACAAGGTCGTCAAGGCGGTATGCGCATGTTCCAATTTGGACCATTGCGCCTCGGCTTTGCGCAGGGCAATCCGCAAAGAGTTCAAGAACTCTTGCAACAGCGTTTCAATGTCGGTCTAGATGGCGCCCCTGCACCTCTAGTTCCACCACAGCCTGGAGTGGCCCAGCAGCCCCATCCAGCACCCCCCAGTAACAACACCGCGACTGATATTGGTGTCCAGCTCCAAGAGTTGCAGCAACGTCTGCAGCAAGAGCTGCTGGCTTTGCAACTTACTCAAGCTGAGCTGCAAACCACATATGCTCTCATGGCCGAGCTTCAGCGCTTGCGCTTGTATCAGCAACACCAACAAGTGGTTAACAACGCGTTGGGCTTGCCTGTACAAAGCACTCCTGCAATCAATGGCCAAGGTCTACAACCACCAAACCATTTCCCAGCCATCCCTCCCACCATGGCTTCCTTTCCTCCCATCCCCCAACGGGTTCAGACACCCACGCTCAGTCGACACATTGCTTCTGCGAATACTGCAGCCATTCCTGCAGGCAGCCCAGACCTCCCGGAAGGCGTCGTGATCCCGCAGGGGTGGACTCTGATGCCGCTGCAGCGAATGGATGGCCAAGCACATCCGTTTTCGCATCCAAGCAGTTCGCACACTGAAACTGCTCAGCATTCACAAGCCCAACAAGCCCCATACCCCTTCAACCACGAAACAGCAACAACCTCTGCTGGTCCAGCACAAAGTACTTCACAAGCAAACCCGACGCCCGAGGATGAATCCACGACTTCTAGAGATTCTGAAGCGCAAAGGGAGTCCCCACAAGTGGCCGCGCCTACACCGAGACTGCCCAATTGGGGTGGCGCCGCTCAGCTTTTCTCCAATGGAGGAGTGGGCACAACCTCGGCTCATGCCGCAGAGTCTTCGGCCGAAGGCGCTGAGAATCATGAAGCGCATGAGGATCACGAAGATACTGACATCACCGACAAGGGCAAGGCAAAAGCAGTCACTGTAGAAGACACGGAAGATTCAGACGATTGAGCTGATACCCTAGATAGAACTCAACTTTCTGGCAACATTACCATACCGACCGATGGGAATGCATAAGGCAAGGCGTTGGCGGCGTTCTTATATTTCCGACCGTAGCGTCTGTTTTGATAATTTAGGATTGATTTGATCACAGCAGCCATCGTGTCTTGTTTTCGCGTGACTGCTAGGTACAAAGTTATTCAATGGTTCATGTGGATGCCTGTATCTCCAAAATGAAGATGTATCTAATCTAATTTTCGATTCACCACACCCCACAAAGTATGAATGCCTACCAACTTACAAGAGTTTCATATCATGTGCTGTCATTTTATCGACCTGATCCATCCAGAAGGACCAGCCCAGGTGCCCTTGACCAAAGCCTTGTAGTAGACCCAGGGGAAGAAATCCTTCTTGAGATGGTAAAACAATCGACGCGGAACTGCTTGATCAACTCCAAATCTGCCAAAAGTCTCCTTGAGCACGCCGTCATACTTGAACTCGGCCAGTAGTACCTTGCCGTATTCTGTCACTAGCGGACAGGAAGTATACCCATCGTACACAGACGTGGGTTGCTTCCCTTTGATGGCGGCGAGAAGATTGGCAACTAGAACCGGCGCTTGCGATGTGATTGCTGCCGTAGTCTTGGATGTTGGCAGACTGGAGCCGTCGCCCGCGGACCAGACATTGCTATACTGCTTGTGACGCAAGGTAGACTCATCCACGTCGACAAACCCGGCCTCATTGGCGAGCGGACTGTGTTTGATGAATGCATGAGGCCCCATTTTTGGCACAACGTGAAGAAAATCAAAATCAACATGGACTTTGTCCTTTCCATCCAAACGAGCAAGTGTTGCTGTATTGCCATTGATGGCGATAAGGTCATGCTGAAAGAGTGCATTGACTCCCCTTGTTTGTCGCAATTCCTCTAGCTTTGCGGCATACTTTGGAACCCCAAACATGCTGGGCAGCGCAGTTGCAAAGTTGATCTGGATGGGCGACTGATTTGGATTGGTGGCATTGTATAAGCCAGATTGCTTCCATCGGTCCAGGGCAAGCCACATGATCTTCTGTGGCGCCCCCGCGCACTTGACGACACCAGCGGGATGAGTAAATAATGCCACTCCACTCCGATGCTGGTTGATCAGTCGGAATACCTTGTCGCAACTTTCATAGCCGTATATCGAGGACACGGGCGCTTCCGGGTCGGCCAATAATTCAGGCAAGCCGGCAATGCTGTCAAAGTTGACCTTGATGCCAGGAGCCACGACAAGATGCTCATACGTGATGAGATCATTGTTCCCCAATGTAATTGTGTTCTGGTCTGGGGCAAAGCTGTCCACGCGGTCCTGATAGAGCTTGATCTTGGGATCGATCAAATTTGCAAGCGGCTTTCTGAGATCCTGCTTCTTTTTGAGCCCACCGCCGACCAATGTCCAGCCTGCCTGGTAGTGATGCCAAGTTGCCGGGTCGACTACGGCAATGTCATGCTGCGAGAATTGGCCTGATCGGACGAGTTGATGGCTGATGGCCAAGCCGGCGGTGCCGCCACCCACAACGACGACTCGGTGACTTCGGCTAGGATGGGTGATCGGGCTTGTTATAGTCGTCACTGTTCGCCGGGATGGGTGGATCTTGCCGACAGGCTTCGCACGAAGAACGCGGCTGAACATGCTTCTATCGGGATTCAAGTTTCGGGGAAATTCAGATTTGTTGGTGACAATTCACAATGACATGTTTTCAATTCAAAGATGCACGTTGAGGCCTTCATACCTGGACTGCCATTAATAAAGAAAAAGTTCAAGTACATGACTATAGTACATGACAAACCTTCTTACCATTGATGCATGCAAAGTGGTACTCGGGGTTTCTCGGTGTTTGAAAAAACTTGTAAGACGTTGCCAGGTCTGTGTGTCATTTTGAAGCAGGTCGGCGACCTCTGGGTAGCATCGTATGATACATCTACTAAGCAGAGTAAACTCGCTATTTCCTGGTCTGTGCCGGCCGCGCCGAGAGCCGCCCAACCGCCAGCTTAGTGTCGCTTGCTATGTTTAAACTACTCCATAGATTATAATGCACTAGTCATCCCATAACACTGTCGCCATGTATGCTGGTAATTAGTACAATATGAATTCTGCTTCTCGAAACGCCGCTGCTCAACTTCGTCTTTCTTCGAGCCTAACACGCTTCGGACACTCTTTGAAACTTCGACCACGTCTCCCCATACATCAATCACCAGCTTCATCCTTGGTACAAAGAAACTGTCTTTGCAGTTTAGCCGTTGAGAAACCAGCCACTTTCATCAATATGCCCCCATACAGCTCAACCCCCCATCAGGCTACAGAACCATTGGTGCACGATGTGTACCATTCTCAGACAGGCACTTGGCAATACCTGATCATCGACCCTTCGAGTAACACGGGTGCCATTGTTGATCCCGTCTTGGACTTTGATCCTGCCTCCCGCATCATAAGTACCGAGACTGCAGACTCTCTGTTGGCTCTGATCAAGGCAAAGGGCTACCACATTGATCGAATCCTCGAGACCCATGTTCACGCTGATCACTTGACTGCTGCGTATTACTTGCAAGCTTGTCTTACCAAGGGCCAAGGTTCCAAACCGCTTATCGGTATAGGCAAGCGAATCCAGCAAGTGCAGTCATTCTTTGGCCAAAAGTATGGGATTGCACCAGAAGAACATCAGGGCGTTTTTGATGTCCTCTTTGATGATGATGAAACCTTTGCCATTGGCGCATTGGAAGCATCTGCCATTCATCTCCCGGGACACACTCCTGATCATATGGGCTACAAAGTTGGAGGTGAGCATCCATCCACCGCAAAGAGTACAAACATCGTGTTGACCATTGTTTAACCCAAGATAACGTCTTTTGTGGCGACTCCTTATTCATTGCGGACCTCGGTACCGCTCGCTGTGACTTTCCTGGCGGCAATGCTCGAGATCTCTATCACTCGGCCAAAAAGTTGCTCAGCATGCCAGACAACGTCAAGATCTGGACTGGGCATGATTATCCGTCAGAGTCGCGCACAATGCCCAAGTCGTGGATGAGAGTTGAGGAACACAAGGATCGCAACAAACACATTATGCTGGATACTACCGAAGAAGAGTTTGTAGCGGTCCGGAGTGGACGTGATGCGGGACTCAAAGAACCTAGGCTCCTTCATCAGTCTTTGCAGGTCAATATTCGAGGAGGTCGGCTTCCAAGGCCAAATGCTTCTGGGCAAAGGCTGGTTCATCTCCCTCTGGTTGTAAACGATATTCCAATTTTCAAGTAGTAATTTACTCCATTCACCTCTCTGAGATTTACCTATATCGCTTATCCACGATTCTCTAAGAGAGGCCATGGTGATTCCAGCCGCGTTCATTGCTCTGCATGACCCGCCGCCTACAATGGATTGACTCAGTCTTTGGCAAACATAGTAAAATGATTTCAAGCAATCAGCTCGTGTAGACGGATCTTGAGGCAATCGACTTGCCGTAGGGAAAGGTGCCCACAGGCCGATAACCGTACCGCTAGAGAGCGGAGTCCCAGTTGCTCTTCGGCGATGATTTCAGAGCAAGAAATATATTTATAACCCAACTATACGCCGTATTACATGTTATCCATGCCCACTAGCCGCATACTCGATCAGCTGTCTACAGGTATACAAATTTGTGTGCCGGCCTTGTCAATCATACACATAATCGCTCGCAAATGAGAACACCCGGATGTAACCTTGCATTTTGGGATCATGAATAATCGTTACATTCAACGGCTCCTTCATCATCACATCTACGATGCTGACAGCTCGCCCCTGCTCATTGAGATTGAGCTACTCCTCCTGACCTTTGCCACCGGCATCCAGGACGCGGCCGCCTACCCCGATTATCAATGCTTTGCATCGAACCAGACCGGCAACACCATCTTCCTCGCGGTGGCAGTGGCAAGAATCGGAGATGGACTGTTTGACGTCAAGAATATCGGCGTCTCCCTGGGGTGTTTTCTGGCCGGCTCCTATGTCATGGGACAGCTGGGAAACTTGATAGGGCCCCGACGGAGAGTATGGTTACTCCTCACCAATTTCATACAAGTCATCATGGTCTTTGTGGCAGCGGGAGTGCAGTGGAAAGCTGGTGTTGATCATTCTGGTCCCATTACGCTCGCTATTCTATTTCTTCTTTCCTTTTCCTCGGGCGCCCAAGTGGCCATGACGAGGCCGTTGAAGATTACACAGATTACTACGGTATGCGTTCCTACTCACCCTTTGCGCCTTTTCAGCCGCTTGCTACGCAGATGAGGTACTGACCCAATAAGGCCATGGCGACTGCAGCGTTTGTCGACCTGTTGGTAGATCCGCATGTGCACAAGCTCCACAATAGGGCACGCAACCGGAGACTTCTCTTCCTCTTGTGCTTGGCTTTGGGAGCCATGGTTGGGGCTTTTATCTACTCTTACCGCGGCTCAGCAGCTACACTGCTTGCTTGCGCCGTTAGCAAAACCGTTGTAATGATCTTGTTCTATTTCAACGATGGCGAAATGGAGGAAAAGTGAGCAGTCGTGAAGTAGTAGTACGTTGCCGACTGGTCCAAGAGCAATGACGATAAGCCGCTGGGTACTAGCGAACAGTGGCTCAGGGAGCTGTAAGGCCGCCATCCGTGGGGCTTACTTCAGTGACAGATAATGTAGCCGCCACCACTCATAGCACTGCCAATATATCTCAATGACAAGGGGTTGGAATCTTCGGCGGGACGTCTGATTGCATGAAATCCAAGCAGCGCATGTGTTTTCCGCGTCATCCTTCTGCTCTTGAACGTATCTCATGCAGTGACAGCCATTCTTTCGACCAACTGCGTTGCACTTGTGACTCATTCCGCTTCCAGCGGTTATCGGTGAAAATCGAATTGTCGCAGCGGCCGCTGCGAGGCTGTCGGGGGCATCATTTCGCATTACAAACCGACATGCCCGTGAGAGGATTTGAGCACGTTATTTCGTCATGATAACAGTCATACTACCCACTGTCGGGGCAATTCGTGGGTGCTCAAACGTTTGATGGCGGAAGGGCGAATGCGACAGCCGCAGGCATTTACCGGGGAAAGCCCTGGGCGCCTAGGTACAGTTCGTTCCCAAGGTCGCCGGCAGGTTGCGGAGCGCGAGAGACCATTTCAAGGTCGGCGACTACAACGCGCCGGCGACCACAAGGTCAGAGACCAACAGGTCGGCGATTGAAACTTCGGCGAAGAGTCGGTAACTCAGATATCCTAGTCATCCGTCAGGTCAAACAGAAACAATAGGAAGAGGGTTTGGGAAATACCATTGGTTTGGAGAGAGACACTGAGTGTCTTGCGCATCTGTTCATTGTTTGGTGTTCTTTGGCCTTCAGCTGCCCGGGCCAAATTGGAATATATCAATACATAATATGATGAGGAATTGAGACTGTTTAAATATACATTTCTTTTGGTATTGAATTGATGCATGCGAGGTCGAGAAAGGAAGAGCTTCGATATATAATCCTATGTGACTGAGCACGCCATCGCCCCTGTCGCCGTCATGCAGCTGGACCCCTCCAGCCTAAGCACGCTAAAGGATGTGATCGGCCCAAAATGCATCACCACGTTTTTGCCATGCAATGCAAATGAATGCTAATAATGGCAGGCGGTTGAATCATGCGACCAGTTCATTTGAAAGAGAGTTATACTCGCAAGTGTATTATACAGGTTGGATAAAGTTTGTTGTTTGCTCGAAGCGTCTGGATAGCATCATGACAGTTCTGAGACTGTATTAGGTTAGGTAGAGCGAGCCAGAACGAGTAAGACCTCAGTGGGATGCGTCGAGCTGGAGACAGGTAGGTATGCCGGAGTAGCGGGGTAGACTGACTGGATCAAAGGTCTCTGTGTGTATAATTCATGAATGGAATATCATCATCATTGCTCTGTCTACCTCTGTTTATGTTCTTTATCTCTTTTCTTTCAAGCTTTCGAGTACCAAATTGAGGCGAGGAAATAACAATGAAAGGAAACACAAGAAGCAGTCGTAAATCTCTAACCTTACAAAATTACCCGAAAAGCTACCCCAATGACGGAAACAAAATATCAACTCAAGGCCCTTCCTGCCCACCGCCAGTCCTCTGGGTCTGCTCTCCGGGGTGATGAGGGTAAAATCCTGGCTGCACATCTCTGCTACTGCCCGCCCAGCTCGATGGAGCAGCCTGCATCTCGTGCTGTGCTGTTGGATGGATCCTAGGTCCATATGTTTGCGAATGAGCTGACGGGTAGTTGGCACTGGGTACCGATGTCCTGGGGTAACTTGAATAGAGACCTTGTTCCATTCCAGTATTCCGTGAAGGAAAATCGGCCGGTGGATACTGATATTCGTGAGGACCGGGATACCCTCCGCCGCGTGGCGGAGTCCTTGGTCCGTAATTCGACGGGATTTCGTAATCCGGTCCATAGCCACGGTGATATTGCGATGGTCCCAAGCCCGGTTCCATATTCCGCGGGGGTTGTGGCGTCGGCTCTCTCGTAAACTTGAGTCTTTGAGACAAGGCAGACGGCCGCTTCGATGCACTCTCATCTTCGGGATCGAACCGCCACATGTTTTCACGTGCACGGCGAGCAGAGCCGGCACCGTAAACATTGTTGAGGTAGTCTATGAAGCTCTTGTATGCCGCGGCAACGTCTTCAAAGTGTCTTTTGCCCAATTGAACCGTCTGTACTGGTTTTTGGTCATCGCTAACAACATTGTCATCCTCATTCACTCCCTCCATGCCCAAGATCTGGAACTCGGCCATGGCCAGGGCAGATTGAAAAGCATTGCGAATCTGTCGGCCGTTCCAGCGGCCCTGCTTGTTGTTGTCGAAATAGTCCATGGCGAACTCGGTAATTTCCGACTGATTGATGTCGATCTGCCGACTGTCTTCCTTGGAGCGGGCCAGGATTCTCTCCCAGTTCTTCTTGAAGATCTCAAGTGTTTGTGAGCGGGTCAAAGGTGGATAGTATAGACTAATATGGATGCGCGAGGTAAAGGCCTCATCAAACACACCAACCCGGTTAGTTGTCAAGAATAAAACTCCAGAGTAGTATTCCATGATTCTCAAGAACACTAGGTGAGATTAAGCTTGGTCAGTATTCTTCGTCTTCCGGATCACATGTGAACAACGATCTGACCTGCGACAAGACTATTTTGAACAAAGTCTTCCTTGTTTCGTTGGGCCAGGAATACATCTGCTTCGTCAATAAGCAAAATGCAGTTCCATCTATTGGCAAGTGAGAAATCCTCCTCGAGATTTTTGTCAACATCTGCTGCCGTTATGCCCAAATCACCTAAGGAGATCCGTTTCAGTACCGTCTTGATTTGTTCGTGGTTAAAAAGATAAAAACTAACCGCTGGTAATTTGGAACAAAGGCCGATTAAAGACGCCGGCAAGGCATTCTGTTCACTTTGTTAATACCGCTATTGCCGCCCAAATACCCAATCCACATACCAGCAGTGGATGTTTTCCCTACACCAGGTACTCCGTGTAACAGCATGATCAATCCCCTGCCTGAAATTATCGATATAGGCGCCAGAATCAGTAAAAGCTTCAATTTATTATTGGGGGAGCGGGGTGAGGTTTTGGAACAGGTCATACCCTTTCCTCGAACGATATCCGTCTGAATGTGACGTGAGGATGGTGACTTTCTGTCTCGGAAGTGCTTTGTCATCATTGATATGATTATATCCTTATGACCTGCTGGTAATACGAGCTGGTCAAACCCGTCGCTGTTGGTTTCAGCCGGTGATGCATCTGCCAAGTCCAGTTGATCTACATATTTTGGCATGACAAGTTAATGGTGTAGTGTTCCTTCAAGGGTTTGGGATAGTGAGAGAAATATGAAAATATACGTACACCATTTACGGCTGCGGAGGACGAAGCCAAAAACTCGGTAAGACATGATCAAGAAGTCGTCGTCTCTCAGCGTATCGTTCAAATCAGACAAGGCTCTTGCCTCAATGGCCACTGATGGCGATGTGCTATTATCATTGGCTTGGGAAGCCAGGTAGTCATTTCTTGTCCTGTCATCGATTGGCTCGTCATGATAGACACTTTCCTGATGGCAACAATCCGAAATACACTTCCAAGTCGATGTGTTCTGCGTGTAATAAAACTCAGGCTTCCACTGGTCTTTGTCTGACGACGACGACGACGACGAAGAAGAAGAAGAATCATCATCATCATCATCATCAAATTCCTCGAGAACAGACTTCTTCACAGAGGGCATCCACGATGGAATGCGATTGAAAGCTTCCTCAAAGTCAACTACCACTTGACTGTCGACTTCATCGCGCAACTTGGAGCTTTCTATTGCTGGAAGGGTCAAACCTCTGTAGTGCATATGCTTGATGCTCCCAGCTTTGACAAATGCTTTCCCCCGTGCTAAAAGGAACTCCTTCTTGATCCCGGGCTCATCACAGAAGTCCAGGGGATAGACTGGGAGTGAGGAAATTGCTTTTTCCCCCTTGAAATGAGGAATGGGGACAATATCCACAACAGGACCTAGCAACTGACCATTGAAGTCAATGTAGACGCATTGAATGAATATATGCCCTTGATCAAATTCCATAAGGGCATCATCTCTGAAAAACGACAGACTGGTGTTGTTGTCCTCTTTGATGCGGTGACGGGTCGTGGCAACGCGCACGACCCGATATGCTTGTGGTACGTCGTTTCGCACGACCGTATCTCCTGGTTTGAATAGGAACCAAAGATCATCAAAAGAAACCGAATGAATTAGGGCTTTCTGTATTTTTTCTTGTCTTTCCTTCAAGTAGGTGTCAATGAATGACAACAAGCATTTCATTTCTGCGACGTCAGCTTGCAGACCATTCTGACCTTCGTCTACCCGTTCAGAGTGCTGGTGATCTTCTACAATAAGTTAGCAAATATTTCTCTCTTTGGCTTAAATGGAAGACTCGAAAGAAATCTGCCATGTGCCTTGGTTGTTCCCGGAAACAAAACAAAAGAAGAAATGGTGAAGGTAATGAAAAAGAATAGGAACCGGGCTTTGTACGTGACATTTGCTAAATCCATGTATCCATATACCAATAAATATAACTCTTGTAACGTAATTTTGATGTATGACGCACTCACCTTTGACTTTATCCTCCAACCTCTCTGTCCAGTTGCGCAATTCCTTTTCATAGTATGAAAGCACCTTGTACGGACGGAACAGCAGAAAAGAACCCCGCAAGTTTGATGAGTCGTCGATATGAAGTTCCGAAAAGGCTTTGATGATGGCCAGCGAGTTGATGCGAATCCTCTCTGGCAATGCCGCACTAGCCGCTGCATCGGTTGTGTTTTGCGGTATCTTTGTATCGGGGGCTAGAAGTTGAGGTGCTGTGCCCCGAACAGGAATGCGATGCTTCTGGCCTAGTAGGCTGAAAGGCTCACGCCAGATCTGAGGCTCTCCAACAAGTACATCAATGGCGTGGAAACTTTTGCTTCTGAACAGCTCAGTTGCGCCTAACGTCTTGAATGTGGCCCACTCAACCCGATTTAGCTCGGCGATGCACAGGTTGCGCCTATGAGCTTTGCTGCGACCAAAGTTCGCCCTTCTCTTCTCCTTTTCTAGCAATGAAGGCGGTGACTCATCATCGGACAACTCATTGTACTTGTGGAAGCGACCAAATTCCGGCACATCATCGTCTGAACTGTCGTAGTCTTGGAGTCGATTTGCAAAGGTCATGTTCATTGCTTGTTTTAAATGCTCAACACCGACCACAATCGAGTTCCCGTTCTGATTGGGGTCACTAGGGTTTCCAGCAGCTTGCGCACATGCTATGGCTGCTTGAAGACACTTGTCGATATCGTGGCCGTTCCAATTGACTTCGGGCATATCGTCTGAACTCAAGAAACTCGAGGCGCTTCTATCGAAGGCTATGATAGAATCCATGCCCCGTCGAGTGTGGTAGATATCTGTCATGTTTCGCCATAGCCTTTTTTGCCTCTTGTGGTCAAGTTGACTGAAGGAAATGGTCATGTGGACAAGATTCTGGATAGACGAGAAAGGAACGCTTTGCGTACCGTGTGAACTGAAGAATACCATGGTGTCTAATTGGCGTAGGAAGGACCAAGGAGCTGCCGTCAGGTTCAGTTAAGTTACCCTCATGATCGACTTGGATTTCCCCCTACCTTTGAACGTTCCGGTGTAATGCATATCAGTCATACGTTTGTATAGAACCATGGCATTGTGTATCTTGCTTACTCGAGGCAAATAGCGCCCCAAATGTTTCAAGTTCGTGTTTTCATCGGATTCATACATTTGAATCGTGATCAAAGGACGCTTTGTCTTCCAGGAAACGTAATCTCAAGGGGATATCATTAGCACCCGACGAAAGTTTTGGCAGAAGCGTACGTACTGGCAGTATATCGTTTGCCGACTCCAGGACCGCCTGACCGCTCATTAACGTCCGTTGAAACATTGAGCCTCTCATTGTGGGGGATTCTTACCTGTCAGGGAAACAATAACGCCATTGCCTACGGTATCACCGTGGCCTTGTCTCAATATTGACCCCTCTGCTCCATGCCATTCTGCAAGGTGAATGAGATCAAGCAGCTGATTATCATGAAGAACTGGCTCAGGCATGATATCGGGAAAGCTCGAAGGCTTGAGGCAATCCACGTGCACCAAATCTAGATAGGTCAGAGAATTCAGAAGTGATAGCCATAGCGGGTTAACCTACGCAATGTGGCTCCCCATAAAGCCAATGCATTCAGGCATGGAGAAAGCATGAAACGCATGGTTCCGGTAAAGGTATCGCGGCTATCTCTCTTGGGATCAATTTTCCGCTCCAATACGCGGTACGCAGGATTGTCCTTTGTGAGGAAATGCCAAGGTTCAGCCCATTTGAATAACCAGTTGCACTTCACACTCGAGCCCACAACAAATGTGCCAGATATCAACACATCACCCTCGTGCTAGAACTCAGGTAGTCAGATTGGGATGCAAACCATGGCTTTGTGATTGTTCCGACTCACATGATTTTGTGGATGTAAAGCCTCTCCATTATGCCTGAATTGCCTTGAGGGTCCCCATAAGATATCCAGGATCTTCTGGCCGCGTTCCTCAAAACGTCTTCTTCTTACCCCGCCATCAGTTTTATCAAAGGATTGGCATGGTACAATTTCAAGCTCTGTGGGACTTATTTCGCCGTCAAAGTCGAGGATTCTGTAGGTTCGTGTAGCGCAGCCTATTTCTCCGGTCGTGGAATCGGTCTGCAGAAGCCATATTCCTACCTGCCATTCCGTGGGCATTCTCTCCTGGGGGTCTGCGACCCACTTTGTGGTTGCTCCGATTCTACAACCAATCCAGTGTTCGTCTACTTTTGCATACGCAAGCGAGTTGGGTCTGTAGAGAACCCATAAATCATCAAACGTGACTGTTGGTTGGTCTTGTGATAGCCGCTCTTGTGCTGGGACGTAGCATTCTTGATACGCTGGGCGAAGGAAGTCTAGAAGTGCAGCAAAAGCATGGCTCAATTGAGAGTCATCTGCTGGGTGTTCTTCTCCTTGCGATTTAAAGTCCGTGTAAGATGCTTCGAGATCTGGCATGTGATGCATGAGGGCTGCGTATGGTTCTTGAAAGACAAGAGTGCTGCCAGTCAACTTTTGGCTATGAGTAGTTCAATATGGCTCATACTCGGGCAACAGAAATGGGACCTAACATACCCAGGGTAGACTTTGATGATATTTCGAATCAAGCTGGACAGAGGCGCAGAGTGGACAGTCAGTAATCTCCCTTCGACTCTCCTGGTCATGTCGTTTCCAAGAGATACAATCCGAGTGCCGGACTTGTAGCTTTCTGAGACACTCCAGGCCACCTTGGATTCTCCTGACGATGCCTCGGGGGCCGCAGCGACATGGATCGCGCCTGATTGCGGATGGTCCATATTCTCATCAATGCTATCAGAAGACAGCTTGGTGATGAGCAAGAGTTGCCAGCCAGGCTAAAAAGAAAATACGAAGATATGAGGTGAGATTAGGGAGGAGAGAAGCGGGGAAAAGATCTCTCGACTGAGGACGTTGCAATTTGCGGACCCTGATTGTTGTTATCAGATTATTGGTTCTCACCAGATGCATCATGCATGTAACCAGCCAAGTTGGGAGCGGCGAGATAATTCGATTGGGGGCCAAAATAAGGCTGTGCGCACCAGCCTGCTTACCGAAAAGAGGGGAAGTCACAAGATTCAAGCAGGTCGCCCCTGCAATGAGAGACTCTGATAACTTTTGGGACATTGTCGACTACTAATGTTATCATTTTGATCTCATGCTGAGAAGTTCTTGGGTGCAAACCTATCGCATCTGCGATTCGACTTGACTACCCAAGGCAATGGATCAATGGCATTTGGAGCAAAGACTCATCAAGCGTCACCAGAGGTGATAAATTTTACTGAAAACCATCTACCATCATATAACTCCACGTTTCAACACATCTACTCGCATGTCCACTACGACAAAGTAAACCATAAATACGTGTCAAAACGGAAGCCAATACAAAACATGGCCGCTCAGTCATCCTCAACTCCACAGATTGAGATGGAACCACTGCCACTGATCAATGCGGACGTCTCAACGGTCGGTTTCTCCAAGATTATCGATGCCTTGATGATCAAAGTGCCCACCGAGCCAAAGGGGGGCTCTGCTAAAGGTTATAGCATCCGTTCAATGACAACCTGGGAAGGGGTGCAAGAGGTCATGGACCGGGCAGCGGCAGAGTATGCCTCCAAGTCAGGCGCCAAGGGAAAAGCCAGGGTAGTGGGCAATTTTATTGGAAACAAGGGGGGCTCTGCCAAACGGATTACTGGTGTGATTCCAGATTTTGGATATACCAAACCTATTATTGGGACTCTGAACTTTTTGCTGGATGTGAGATATCCCTCGTGTTATATGTGTACCATCCTAGTGGAAACTTGGGTATCTGGACTCTGCGAAACTGATCTCTCGATTGTAATAGGCATTTCAAAAAGCTGACAAGGTTCGTACCGATGTCAAGGACGGTGTCGAAAAGCTCAAGGATAATTTTGACCTTGTTCAAGTTTACCTTGAGCTTTATGCTGCCAAGCCAAAGGTCGCTGCAGCGGCCTTGGAGCTCTATGTCACAATCCTCATTGCTGTTGAAGAGGTGATCAACTACTATACAAAACATATAGGTATTGAATCGACATCATTGCTTTAGTGTTACATTGCTAATAGCATTTATGAACAGCTATCAAGGGGTTGAAAGCATTATGGGAAGGCGACAAATATGAAGACAAGCTACTCACATGCTTGAAGAAAATTGGTGATGATGGACAGAAACTCATCCTCCAGGCCGATACAGCACAGAAGCAAGAAATGCAAAATGGTGAGTTGCGTAACATTTACACGTGTTCAAGAAAATTAACAGAATCACAGGATTTTCCAGTCTTGCAGCGAAACTCGACAATCAAGCAGATGTCCTGAAAGATATGGCACAGAAAGTGATGAACAACCTTCTCCCCTTGCTTGAGCAGTACAATCAAAAACTCGACATCACAAACAAGGAGTATCAATTCGCACGTCGACAGGCAGAAATAGCATATGGTGAGCTACTACATGGCATCTCTTGACTTTTCAGTCGCTTAAAAGTTTCACAGCCGAGAATATAATACTCAGAGGCCATCTTGAACGAGCCACCACGCCGGAAATCTGGCCGACAACAACACGCGAATTCTTGTTGGAATTCTTGGATTCGTCCGATATCGAAGAGGCTGATATCGGATACATTACAAAACAGCAGATATCCCACGGAGCGCCGGGGAGAAACCGCACCGACCAGATCATGAAGTCCCATGAATTTGTTCAGTGGATTACCGAGCCGACGTCAAAGGAGCTCCTCGTCCATGGGAATTCTGCCACGACTCCCATTTCTCCTTTATCATTTTTCTGTGCCCTGCTCACCCAAAACCTACGGCGGGTTGAGAAATTTGTATCACTGGCATTCTTCTGTGGTTGCCACCCTTACGAGGACCAAGGCGGGTCGAGAACCTTGATCATAAGTTTGCTGGCTCAGTTGTTGCGGCAGGAAATTCACTTTGATTTCAGATTTCTTACCTACGAGTTGGCCGAGCTGATGGAGAATGGTAATGTACAAGCGTATTGCTCAGTGTTTGATGAGCTGGTGCAGCAGGTGTCGCAGGATGAAACCTTGTTCTGCATCATCGATGGTGCCAATTTCTACGAGCGGAACGAAGAAATGCGACACGAATCCGCAGAGGTCCTTTGCTTCTTACTCGATCTCACCAAGTCACAGACCAAATTCAAGATTCTGTTGACGAGTCCCTCCATCACCATTGAGATCCGAGAAGCCATTCACGATGAAGACTACCTGAGCCTTCCCGAACAGGGGAAAAGCACAGCTGATTACAGCCTCTTGAGGTTTGAGAGGGAATGGGACGAGAGCATCAACGGATGATTCAGTACCAGATATTGGTAAATGACAGTCTGGCTGTGGAACTTTCTCCAGCACTCCTCACATGTCCATATACTTGCCATACTGTCTGATCGGCGGACAATTGGCGAGCCCATCGGTGTATAGTAGTGGTATTAATTTCTCTTTGAGTGCTGCAGAAACTCATGTCTTTTTGCGGGCTGTAGATGGTGCCTAATAAATCTCTGAAGACGAAATAAGGGGTATCTAGGTAGTATGATAAGGACATTAGCCCTTAGGGCCAAAGGGAGCTCTTTGATTAAATAAGCTGAGGAGAGGCAACTTTTTTCTGTCCCTGCCATGAAACAAACTTTAGGGCGCCTACGTTTCGGCACAACTTGAACTAAAAGTCTTCCATAACCCCGGACAGTCACAGCTGCCACCATCCTTAGTGCGAGGCTACTGAGATGATTTTCCCAGAAAATAAGAACTGCATATACCCAATATGAGACAATCATTTACTGTCAGGACCCTGCAGGGGTATACCGTGAGGGTTCTCACGTTGCCTACATACCTACATAGGTACTCGTATATTTACAGTTTTCGGTCCCCGTGACCCTCACGGCCACGGATAGTTGCAGTAAGTGAACGAAAGTTTTCAATTTTTGCATTTGTTATTTTTGGTCTTCCAATTTAGTTTGGTTTCGCTCCAGAGGTTGGTGTAATGATCAAGTCATTTCATTGCGTTGGTTGCGCGAATCATTGTGAGGATTTATTGCATTCCAGCTGCTATTCCCTCGAGTCCACTGGCAGCTAGGTATGCACTACGGTAGCCACTATAAATTTGGAGCGCGGGGTTGGAGTGCTGAATGTACCCCTGCGACCGTGTGGCGCTGGATTCTAGTGGTCATGGTCGTCGCATCTATGCGCTAACAGCATCCATGTTTCAATGTTCAGTCCGGTGTACCTTTAGTGACAAAGTTGCACAAGGTAGGTAGGTAGGTAGTAATTGAGAGTATTGGTCCGAGTTTGACACTATGGCCATTCAGAGACGTTCATTAACAAGTGAATATATTTTCTAAATCATGCCCAAGAAAAGTGCTCCAAATGGAGGTAAATGTCACCAGCGCCCGTCTTGGCCAGAGTCAACTGCTCGTGAGCCACCGCATTGGCAACATCGCTCTGCATGCTCAACGGTCCGCACACAAAGACACTCAAGGTCTGGCCACGCGTGATGGATCCAGCTTCATTGGCGACCACGTTGGTTAGATCGGGCCTCGATTCAAAGTGTTGAATGCGCTGCTGGTCAAGGGACTGAGATGTCGGCGAGAGGCTCGCGTTTGCCGTTGGTTCAACTTGGTTCGATGTCATTTTGCCAGTTTTCTCAGGAACCTCTTGCATGTTTTCGGATACCAAAATCTGACCACTCTCTTCAGAGCCAGTGTAGTGCGTCTCCAACTCAATGGCTGATGTATGATCCATCGAAAACGAATGGAGAATTTGTTGGACTTCGCTTTCGAACCAAGACACGGTAGCAGGTTGGCGGGACGCCAAAACAATTCTGAGAGACGGGCGAGAGGCTCCCTCCGTGGTAGGCCCTTCGGTAGACAAACGCTGCAAAAAGGCTGTGATGAAAGGGAAAACCCATCCAGCGCCAGATCCTCCAGCAATGACTAGCATTCGATGGCTGCCTGTAATAGCTTTGAGGTCAACTCCGCCATAGGGCCCATCAATCAGCACCCTCGCCCTCAAAGTTGGATTCGATGTAACGTGGCTCGCCAATCGAGCCGTGAAGCCACCGCGAGGCTTGATGAAAAACACTAGCTCGCTTTCGTCGCTGGGGTATTTTGCATTTGTCGACGGAAGAGAGCACGCGGTAAACGGATGGACTGTGCAATCATGCACGCCGAGTCCCATGATGCGCACAAAGTAATGCTGCGCCACTGTCCATGTCGTCTTGGTAGGTATAGCCACGCGAATAAAGCCATTCGAGGCCCGACTGAGCTCTGCGCGGTGGCTAATGCCGTGCTCGAAATAGATACGAATGTGACGGTACAGCCATGACAGAGTGAACAATACGCCAGTGGCAGCAAAGTAGTCCCTGGACAAAGTATTAGCCAGTCCATTTCCCCATTCCTCAGTAGTGCATAGTTGATTAGCTGCGGGACCAGCGAAATACATACCAAGCTGTTAATGTAGCATCGCAGTGGAAGAAGAAGAATAGAACAAATATCAATGCAGCCAGGTAATGCGAAAACTTGAACCATTCGTAGCACAGATTCCTAAAGTCAATCAGTATCTAGTTTGAGCAGGCTGTCTGCCAGATGAAGTCTGTTCTTACCGGAGGGGACTCAACGACGCAAAAGTCAGCCACGCTTGGGCAACGAGCGCAACGACTCCAGTCCAATAGAAGACCATTTCATTCCACATTTCAGTCATCATGTTCTCCCGGTAATTGTACACAATGAATGGAAACGTGTGAATTAGCGCAAGGACGAAAAAGGCGTACGAGATCCAGCGGTGGAATACTTGAAGGCGCTCATGCGAGACGCCGGTGAAATAAGTAATCAAGTTGGCCTTTCCTGCGGTAGCAAAGACGAACGGCATACAAGCGAGCCCCATCCATCCTGCTCTGGTGGCAATGGGAGGGGAGGATCCATAGTCGACATCATCCGTGTTGGGCCAATAGTATGGCTGCGGGCCCAGGGTCATGGCCAAGAAGAATATCGTGCCAACGGCCCCAAGCAATAACACGCCGACGGGCGCCGAATTCCAGTTCAGCATAGGGATCCGGATAGTTCGGTAAGAAAGATATCGAAAGAGTGACCTCGTCTTGCCCAAGAGTCCTATCCGTACTAGTCTTTGTGGGAGCACATTGCCGGCGATATGGACTAGGGAGAAGACAATGATGACGGCAAGAAAGAAGGCGACAGTCGGCAAAGCGTATCTGTGATCGGCTTCGTACCTGAATGATCTTTGTCAGTTTGAAAGCCCAACGATTGCTCTGACGCGACATCAGCTGGGTGCCATACCAAAACCTCCAGTAGCCCTGTTGATAGTCGCACTGCCAGGTCTCTTCCAGGGTACACTCATATTCTCGGTAGTTGCCCGAGAACACCAAGGGCATGTCAAGCCATGGAGTCTTGCGCTTTACAAGCTGGTCGAGCATCGTAACGTCGTGAATGGTGGTCGTGAGAAACTCGTCTATGGGTATCTGAGTGGACTGGCTAACAAGGTAGACGAGAAATATCTCGGCAAACTGGATTATGGAAAGACCAGTGGAGTGCCTTGTCGCGACTTGCTCTTCAGTCACTTCCACGCGTTGAGGGGAAGGAGCATCAGTGGAAATGGAGGTCGCAGGACCTTTGCGGGAAAATCTGACGCTGGACTAGAGTGACATTTGAACATTTCCAAGTTTGCTGAAATGAGCCGGTTAATGGGATGGATGAATGGGCGTTCCATGTGTATGCAGCCGGGGCCCAGCGTCGTGGGAATGAAACGGCCTCTTGAATAGCCAGGTATTATTAAACCATCAACTATTGGTCGGGTGGGGATCGTTATGGGGTCAAGCTTTGGTGTTCTGCGTCGATTTGCGCAAGTTTATTCCATGCACCCTAGTCCGGCGCCGACTCCCTATTGGCCATTTGTGGCGGAAACATTGCGAGTCAGCGCGGGCTTGAGAACATTTGAGCAAGTGTCATCCCTGCAACTTCTGCACGCATTTTACATCTCAGCCCTACTGCTCATGATAAGATCGCGCTCGGATAATTCCCGTCAGATCAGTCTTGAGCTTGCCAAGGCGGTCGGCCATGTTTATGATCCAGACGCCGTTATGATGGATGCGTGAGTCTGTCCAATCTCCGCGCGGCCTGTAATAAACCTGCGCATGTTTTACCGATTGCATATTGTACAGGCCTACCTAGGTACCTACCTGGTAATTAGGTGACCAATCACAACAGACCATGAGTCCTGAGCCTGTCAAGGTATATCGAATCCGAATGTTGCAATCGCTGTACTATTGAAACTTGGCCATTACAATGCATACACTTGCATCTCTGATGAGAAGGTCATTTCAACGCCCAGGATCCACGAATCACAATAATGAGTAAAAGAGCCAGTTTTATAGAACAATAACTAATTGTACTAGACTACTATTCATATTTACCTGGCAGCTCGTCTCGTTGCGATACGAGCGCTCGTGTCCCTTCAAATCTTACCGACGCCGGCATTAGCGACGACTGTGGTGGGCACGTCCGCCACTCCGTAATGACCAATCAAAGAGCTCTTGTACGGAGCCAACTTGGACAATGCTGCCGAGCTCGTCGAAGATGGGAAACTGCCCGAGTTGGATAACCGGTTCCACTCGCAGATGTACCCGAGACTGCTGGTGCATCCGCTGGCATCAGCGACGCTAACGACGGAATACAGGTTGCTGCTGGTAAGCGACCCCGAGGTAATAGGCGTGTCCACGTTGTCAAAGTAGTTGCCCTCGAGGAGAACCCAAGTATTGACATCAATGTCAAAGGCGTGGCCTCCAATATTCTTAAAGTAATTGTTGACGCCGTGGAAGATGATCTCAGAAGCATCGTAGTCGGTACCCATGTGGGGAGCGCGACCCGAGACATCGTGGATGTAGTTTCCGACAAAGGTGTAGTAGTCTTTCAATCCAAGCAGCAGGACTGTCCAGTAATGTTCACCATTGCAGCTTGCCGACCATGAGGTGGTGCCGTCAAACTCATTGTTGGAAATCGTTACGCGTCCTCCGGCTCCCCAACCAGATACGATCATTTGCCGACCAGTGAGGGAGACTATAGTTGACGAGAGTTAGTACACTGTGAGTTTATAAAGTGGCACGCTTCTTACATTTGTTATGGTCGATCCAAACATTATCAGTTCCATCGAGCGTGATAATGTCACCTCCCCAGACATATTGAGGGTTCAGGCCCTGGTCAGACATGGTCATCAGCAATCAAAATTCCTGCCTTCAATGGCGTGATACATGTTGGCCACTCACCGTGAAAAAGATGTTCTGGATAATGACGTTTGTGGCTCCTCCGCCAATCGTCAGCCCTCGTCCCTTGATGACACCACTGCTTCCTACACCAACAAGACTCTTGTTGCTGGCGACCTTGATGGGGCTGCGCGCCGCATTATAGTAGGTGCAGGCACTTGTGGTGTAGTCACAAGTATCCATAATCCACAACTGGCCATTCGGCTGGCATGTGTTTGGGCAGCACTGTGTAGACGTTGTTCCCTGGTAGCTTGTATAATCCCAGGTCTGTGAGATCATGATGACTCGTGCAGTTGAGTCGGTAAGCCATGTTTCGAGCCTGCAATGTTATACCATTAGCTATGTCTTGTGACTTGTAGGCGCCATACTCACTCTGCAAGACTGGAAGGATATTGCGGCGTGGCCGAGCCGCCGCCAGTGGTCCCAGCAGCGAAGCCCGTGGGCGAGCCCTTGACTTGGGCAAGCACTTTGGAGGCAGCAAGCCCAACCAGCAGGAAGAAGCTAGAAGTGAATCCCATCTTGGCGAATTTACCAGCAATGACCAGAGCTATCGGTCCTTGTTTTGAGACGAATCTGATTGAATCATGCAACAATCATGAGCCTCTCTCTCTTGTCGTTGGCAACAATCATCTTATATATCCCAAACATATCCTAACATCTAGCATTTTCTTTTTGAGCAAAAAGAATCACGCCTTCAATTGTACCATCGACTTTTCAAGCATGTGAGGCGAAAAGACAGCCTTGGCGTTGTATAACACGACAGGGGCAAACGAACGCCGGTTCGTGGAGTACGGTATAGCGCCCGCTGTGCACCAATAATCATCGTCGCGCATGCCAAGGACCCCGCGTTGCAAACCGCGTTCAGACCGGATTGAGAGGCTCCAATACTATTCAGGTCGCGGTTAGTGACCCTCCGGGTATTTGCCGTCCTGCACGTTTGGCAGATGGTATGCAACCCCAGATACCGTCTCTTGCACTATCTATTGGTGGGTGCTTGCAGCACAGATTGTCGAAAACAGTGCTCGACCAGGTAGTCGGTATTCGCTCCGTCACCCACTCTTGACATTACCCGGTAAGATTGCGGTGGGATCTCCAATGGGAGATGAACAAAATTCTCCGAATACTATGTGCCCAGGAATAGTTTCATTTATTTCCAGGGTCCTCTTCTGAGAGGATGACATGTTTTCCGCGAATGGTGTTGACTAATGTATGCTTGACCTTTTCATTTGAAAATTAGTAGAGATGCGGCGGGCTTTTCTGCTAGAATACTAACAATCATACTGTATCTCTGTTATAGATTCAGCCTCTCTATCCTTATTCCTCTTTGTAAGGGTTGAATATGCAAACGTTGCTTAGTTTCCCATGTCTACGACTCTCATATTAAGATGTTTTATCAAAGCAATTCGCGACGCTGCTTGGAAATAGCTTAGAACGAGGTTACTAGACCATTTTTACGAACTCAGCACTATCATGCTTCTCCTCGTGTACTGTGGTCTATTCTCGTGATTTCCCTAATTGTAGATCAGGGCTGGCATTTCGGCAGCGAAGCTCGGCATAATAGTTATTTTTCTCGTTATATCATTTAATATCGTTGTAATGTGGCACATGGTGGATAATAGTAGGGCATGTCCCTAAGGACCAATTACAAGTTGGCAGAACCAGCAGCGCAATATAATCTTTCACTGCTCGATACAATATTTAACGCCAAGACGCACAAACACATACGACCACAGGCGCTAGAGAAGTCGGCATCCCGTCCGCTCTGCCCTAGATAAACTGGCAACCGCTGTCCGATCTGTTTCCTTGAGCGTATTACGATAGGAAGCAGGTGATTTACATTTGACAAGGAAGCTTAGCACGGAGAGCAAAGCCTCGTAATACTAATAAGTGACAGAAATCCTGGTATGCTTGAATCCAGCTGTAAGAGCGGCCTTAGCAGCATAGGATAGCTTTTTATTCTTAGTAGCTTAATGTTAAATTTAAATGATAAGCAAGAGAAAGCGCTAAAACATATATATTTTATATATGTAATAATGACCGAATTAAGTCCATTTAAAAAGCTAGATAAAACAAGGTTATACACATTTTGAAGCCTAAATTATCCGAGAGTGGTTAAAAAGCTACGCTTTGCCGGCTTATGATTTTAACCTTATTGCTGTCATAGATTAGCATTAAAATATTCTGGCATTTTAAATATCTCCCGTTACCCCGTCGACTCGACAAAGTCTTAGATTTACTTTCAACCCATTGACGACCTTCGATAAATACCTTGGCAGCACCAGCGAAAGTCATTTATCTAGCCCTTACGCAATCAAACAATTGCAATGGACGCACTATACATAGATATATTTCAGCCAGAGAGCCCATACCATTTGGACGAATCGGACGAAAATGTTCAGCCATGGTATGATAAGTGGGAATTCCCCTGCGAAAAATGCAGGGAAAGACGAGGAAAGCTCTGCTGGCGGTGCCGATTTGTAAAACGCAAAAGAGAGGAAGAAGGGTGTATCTTTTCACCGGAGCTCGTCCCCATGGACTCACGAAACAATCACAGCAGTAATGACACAGATACGAGAATGGTCCAGAATCTAGGATTCACAAAGATGGTGTTTTCACAGTCAGATACCAGTACCCATTGTTCAGATCTCGATTCTTCTGAGAATTCGAGCACGTTGAGTGCGGAAAAGGAATATCCCCAAGAACATGAATCGAGTACTCATCGACGTAAGACGAGGGATCGGGGTTGCAAAGGCCTTGTCCGAACTCGATATGACGATTCAACACCTGGTCTTGGACATTGTTCGTGCGATCTGGAACGTCGCATCGGGTGCCCAATGCACTGCAGTTGCTCTCTTCGTCGCTCTTCCCCGGAACATTGTATCAGGTGCTCGAAGGACCACTGCCATTCCTTCCGCTGTCATCCAAATTACCCCTGCAGGTGTCAGAAGGACTACTGTTGCGATCACTGCCGCTATTACTGGGACCGGGAGGCTTTCTATTGTTCGTACTGTGGAATCGATATGAGAGAGCCCGACATCCGTCCATGCGAGCAAGTCATCGACAATTGGTTTGCAAGTAGAAGGGACAAAGAGCCACCAGCACAGATCATGAAAGATTGTTTTCGCTATACCTTCAATCAACGTGTAGCAATAGAGCGACGCCCGAAGCTCGTCCACTACGGAATTGGGCTTGGTGGCATAAGCGCTTTATCGTACGGCGCGGGGTCCTGTAGTCCGCAACCGCTACCATCATACAAACCGCTTGGGGACCGAATATGGTCAATCGTATCGACGAGCATCATACGAGGATACGAAAAAGGAGCGATTGTACTCGGATACAATATTGAGCTCAGGAAAGTACTGAGAGAGCTAGATTAAGCTAGACTGGTATTGAGGATGATGTAGAATATTTTGATGTACCGAAGACGATGGGTTCAATCACAATACACTTTGTCATTGCTTTCAACTAGAGCCAATGGTGACTCTTATAGACGGTCGCATTGGTGGTACAATCACAAGAATTTAACTGCGCAATGTATACATTCGTGGAGGTCAATTGCAAATTGCCGTAAGTACTAAACTGCCGTGAACAATCTATTCAACTCACAGCAAGCGTCCATGGGTAGTGAGACTGACAATTTTAAATTATGACATGATGCCAGAAGCAGAAGTTGCGATCAAATTGTCGGACGTCACTTGCCTATGACTTGGGAGCTCATCACGATTGATGCCCACTCCTCATAACTTCCTATTGACTGGCGGTAGGACGTATGGGGGGCGCTGCCTCTGCTGCGACCTCTGCCAGTATTCGATGGTGGCTGTTTCCCTCGCAAAGACGTCAACACGATGCCACTGAATTGTAAATATGTATCCTGGTCTCTGTTCTACAGCCCCTCTGTCTCCTTCTTCTACTCAAATCCATCTGTCGTCTAATTGGTATCTCTACCAACTGTTTCCATATATATCCATATATATCCATCTATTCTCATCAATCCCTTGATACATTATCTATAATCATTATTGATAATGAATTTTCTTTCCAATATCCTTCTCCCCGTCCTGAAGGCGGCTGCCGTCGGTCCAAGGAATGCTTCCACTACGAGTCCCACCGTCTTGATCAACTGCATTCTGGACACCCTCTGTCATATCTCAAGACCACCAGGTATGCTTCAGTTATCTCTTTAGACTCGGAGACACAAACCCTCCTCCCAACTTATGTGGTCTGCCATAATCGTATATTGCGCCGTACTTATCATATCCATTCTATTAGCCTAGCTACCACGGTTGAGCTTCACATTTTGGTCTGCTGGTGCAGTGGCCAGATACGACATCGCCTCTTTAATCTCATAAACACCGACCCTCCTCCCAGCTCAGGGAGTCTGCCGCAGTCGTCTCTTCAGTCTAACAGACACCGACCTTCCTCCAAGTCAGGGGGTCTGCCACGTCAAGCAACTTTCCACAGAAAGTCATTCACGGGAAGCCATCGTCGATTCCGCAAAGGCTATGACGGAGCAAACTCATTGAAGCTCGTAATTATATGAACCTGGATGCCCGTATTCCCCTTTCAACCCACAAGAGTCTCTCCTACCTTTTGTCGCTTGGATGCGGGACTTGCCTCGCCTATATGATACGGAGGTGATTTTCAATGGTAGAGGTGGTGATAGAAATAAAGGGACTGACTAAGTCAGCCTTACTTCTTTAGTTGTCTCGGTAGTTGTACGGACATAAGTAGAGGGGTCGTAGCTTATTGGAGAGCCGCAATTTGTTAATATGCCCATAATTACTTTATTGTATATACCATCTGTGTAAAATAGCTTTACCATCCGAACAGATTTTACTTCGAACAACAGGTGACGGCAAATAGATCTATATTCAACGTGACGTATAAAGGGAATACTTCCCATCGTACGATGACATTTAGATAACCCTTTCAGGCGTTCGGATGCTAGCAGCTGTCAGCTATATCGTGGCTGTAGTGGCTGACTGACAGCATACCAGTCTGTTCTACCTACCTAAATACCGCCCTCGTACGAGACCGCAAATGCCAGTATTCCAACAATCTGATATATTGAACTCTCCAACGCATAGGCCATGGTCTCAGGTATGGCGCAGCGACTCGAACACGCTTAAGCAGCGACCGACTGGTAATTCGAGCGTCAGCGTTATTTGTCAAGAGGTATGATCAATATTCGTTAGATTGACCAGGAATTCTACCCTAGAAGGACGGGGGAAGGGCTCCCACTACATACAGCCACAATATGGGTCGCACCCAGCCACCTTATTTCAACATTATTGGCCCTCCGTCTGAGAGACGCGACTTCGTCACGATGGGTATTTGAAAAAATGACCAAATCCCCGCTGGGAGAGCTACGGGGGAGTGGAGATACGCGTGCAGGAGGTACGCACTCCTACGACGACTGACCTTTGCGAGGTTGGGCCCCGGGAGAGTTCCAGGCTGTAGGAGCAAGGTTCCGTGCCTCCTCAGAACATTGGGTGTGTGTATGGGCTTGTGAACGTAATGACCAAGCGCGCGAGGTTCGCCGAAGCTGTTGGGCGGTTCGCCGCCGTAATAGGCTTTGGGGCGTAAGAGCTGGCTGTAATCGGTAACCTTGATGGCGTTGCGTGTATCAAGACTAATAATAATGCCATTGTGTAAAACCTTGAATAATCCCTCCAAATAATTTTGACGAAACACTAAGGGAAAATAAAAACTTAATCGAGTATCGAAGTACTGTGGCGCTTTCTATCCGTGAAGACATCTCGCTTTTAAATCCGGCTTTTTGGCTCATCCAGAGTTGTCGCTCCTTCATATTCAGAATTGGACGACTTGACGTAAATACACAAGAGACATGTGGCAAGACGATTGATATTCTGTCATTTAGCTACCAACTTCCGATGCACTTGTATTGGGCCGCACAAGCTACCGAGGTGCAAACCTGACTGACACCACTGATGAATTATTAGCAGAACTAAAATAACATCTATGTTGTTCTCAATGCCAGCAATTGTGCGTGTGAAAATGGGAGACCTCACATCCCATCAGATGTTACGACGGAATGAACATGTCCCGGTGACTAATTATCTTGTCAGGTAGCCGTTTTGTAAATTCACTCACATTCATCTTCATCTCCCCGACAGTATGCCGTACTGGATCAAGGCACCGCACGCAGCATGCGAGAACTTCAGCAAGCATTTGTAACATCATATTTGAAAGTCGAGAAAATAGGTACTTGACCAGTTACATCCCTGTGGAAGGGAGTTTCTTCCATATACTAGGTACTTGGACTATACTGACATAGAGAATAAACAAGCATCAGCCCCCTGTCTGTCTCCTACGACAAGTTACGATTTCTGGCAAAAGAGCGGGACCCAAGCGCCTGGTACAGCATTGCAGTCTCGCCCTTGCATTGCATCCCACGTGGGCACCTTGGTGATTAGAACTGATTTACTTTCTGCCAGAATCACGCGAGGTCTTCGTGGAGTATGATAAGTGATCCTGAAGGAAGCTGGCTGAAAACCTAGCCACTATCATGCTACCAGCGCGAGGCTTGTCTCGCTACATAGTTGCTCTCGACGTTTCTTGTAAGCTGAGGCCAGATGGTTCCTGCTCAGCCATTACACAGTTGGTCTTGGGGCTGTTGGATTTCACAGTGATCATGGGAAAGCCGCGCGGTAGGCCGTTCCGCGTGATTTCGTTACCGAAAATCCTTTGGCACGACTTGAACCGAGGAAATGGCGAAGACGTTGTGTTAACGTATCCATAACCACTATTAGGCTAGTTCCTCGTGTGGAGCTTTACATTTTGTTCAGCTAGTGTAGTGGTTTGGTGCGACAATAGTACACGTCATTATGTGTATACATAACGCAGAATGCCGCCAAGCAGCGTCACGGATCGAGCGAATGTATTTTCAGTGTCTATAACATACTGACTAGTCTGCTTGCTCGGGTTTGGCTTTTATGTTTACCATGGAATCAAGCCCTCCTTGTCAATAAGCTTTCCGGCGTCTGCGTCTCTCTTCCCCTCAGCAACGGCGATGAGTCTCTCTCCACCCTCCCTTGGGTGCACCCCGCCAAGCGCCTGTATGATTTCCGGTCCCATACCGCCCAAATCCGTGGCGCAAATGCCGGGGCTGACGCTGAAGACCTTGACCCCGTCGGCCTTGAGTTTGTGGTGCCAGTCCAACATCAGCATGCTCAAGGCTGTCTTGCTGCAGCGGTAGCCGATCGTCTCAAAGTCAATCTTCTTTGGCCACCCCGCCGGCTGGGGAGGTGTTGGGAAATAGTTGTCCACGGCCGCAGTCATCTGGGACAGACCGGCAACGAAGAGCAGACGGGGCTCAGCCGATTTGAGTAAGAGCGGCATGAACGTCCAGGTAACAACGTTGGCACCCGTGACATTGATGTTGTATGCCTTGTTGTAGCACTCTCGCAGAGACATCTGGTTCTGCACGAATTGCATATCGAAACCGGCGCCTGATGGACTGCGTGTTAGTCACGGACTGCACTGGAGGCGAGGTGACTGATTGCCTACCAGCATTGTTGATGAGGATGTCAACACGGCCTTGGCCGTTCTTCACCATCTCGAAATCCTTCTGTATAGAATCATCGCTCTCGACATCGATTTCGAGCAATTCGACCGTGTTGGTCGCCTTGGAGCACTCGGCTCGAATCTTTTGGATCACCTCCTTGCCTTTGGAGGGGGACCTGGCACCAAGGTATACGTGGTAGCGATGTTGAGACTCAAGAAAGACCTTTACAGTCTCGTAGCCAATTCCAGTGTTTGCACCAGTGATGAGAACTACTTTGGCAGCCATATTGGGTTCTTAATGTGGGAGTGGAGTGAAGGGGGTAAGCAGATAGTGCTAATCTGAAAGGAGAACCCAGCGACTTTTTATGTGCTCCCAGGATGGGCGGATGGATAGGAGTTATGTTATGTCCTAGGTAAGACAAAGAATGCCTCGTCTCGGCTGCACTTGGCACTTGCCTTGCGTAGGCAAACAAGAGGCAGTCAACGAAGCGGACACGAATGAGAAAGCAGGGGCATTACGCGTCGGGAAAGATGCGGACTTAAGAGGTGCATAGGAGCCCGTCGTCCCCGACAGGTGGCACAGTCACCCAGGTATACTTCGTGAGCAGTACCATATGGTGCGGTAGGGGTTTTAGAACTTTGATTTGAAAAGAGCATAATGATTGCTATAATGATACCTTCTCTTCGTAGTGGTCATGATATGCAGCTGTCCGAGTACACTGATCTGCTCCAGCTCTGGCCCCTACCCCTAACCCACCTCCTACTACTGGTACATACACTATGCATCGCTCACTGCACCTCATACACAGGTACCTGTAAGCCCGACGCCACACAGCCGGAGTAACTCACACAGGATGGATGGACGGAGACTGCGTGAGACCTGTTTTTTTATCTTTTTATCCGCATCCCATGGCTTTAGCCTTTTTTCTATTCCAAGGTACCAGGTAATTGAGATTCCGCTCAATTTTACGCTGCCTTGGGGACATACTGTTATATGACCCGTGTCTAGAATACATATTTTTCGTGTAGGATAAAATTATGAGCGACTCGTTTTAACCAGAACCACAATAAAGTTCGTAACATTGAGCCCATTTGTCAAACTCGATTCCCAGCTAGCCAAAAGGTCTCCAACATGTCTCTCATTGAACTCAGTTACACTTTCTGTGCTGGCATCGTGGCCTTGATTATTGTCATTTCAAGGCTTTACAATGTGGGCCAGAGGCCAAAAGGCTATCCACCAGGGCCACCTACTCTGCCTTTCGTCGGCAATTTGCATCAGATCCCCTCGGAAAAGCGACACTTGCAGTTCGAGAGATGGGCTCGAGAATATGGACCGATATACTCCCTGATGCTCGGTACCAAGGTTATGATTGTCCTGAACTCGCATGAGGCTGTAAAAGAGTTAGTAGACAGGCGGGGAGCTATCTACTCCTCGAGGCCAGAGTCGTATATCGCCCAGGATGTCCTCAGTGGCGGTCTCAGGATTCTCTTTATGATATCTCTGGTTGATGATATCCGTTGTTATATCTCACCTGAGCCGATGTGTGAAGGGGGAACTGAAGACGAGATGATCGAGGAAGCATTGAAAGTTGTCTGAGTTGATCTCTAGTCTACAAAAGAGAGGTGCTGAAGAGCGACTATATACCCAAGCAGGTGATCTGCGGTGGGTACTGACTACGTCAGTACGACATTATAAAACCCATGTTGATTGTTTTCCAGCCAAATAACGGGCCGTGGAAGATGGCCCGCAAGTTGGGCCAGCATGTTCTGGGTGTAACTGCGGCACGGACTTACGTACCATATCAGGATCTCGAGAACAAGGCTATGCTGCTTGGATTCTTGGAGAGTCCAGGTGATTTCATTAGCCACCTTCGACGTTACACGGCTTCTCTGACCACTCAGATGACGTTTGGCTTCAGAACGACGACCATGCATGACCGGAGATTCAGACAGGCATTTGAGGTGGGAAGGCCGGGCGAGTATAACGTACTCGATTTAGACTAACAGGATATATAGATTTCTGATCACAGTTCTGAGATGATTGGATCTTTAGTAAGTACCGAGACCTTGATAGCGTCGTACAGGGTTACGAAAGCCGAGGACTGATGCTCTTCCCATCTTAGACAGCCGCTATGTTAGATTTGGTGCCTGTACTGAGGAACATCCCTGATTTTCTTCTTCCCATGAAAAAGGATGGAAGAGATATGCATCGTAGGGAGTTAAGCCTTTTTCGTGAACTCTTTCTCCAGACCAAAGAGGGTCTGAAACTGGGCACAGCCAAGGTACGAGAGTCAACCATTCCAGCCGGAAAATATTTCTGACGCCAAAGAGATAGCCCTGCGTTTGCGTCGACCTCGTCAAGATGCAAAGGGAATTAAAGTTCTCTGACAACTTCGCGGCATACATCGGCGGCTCGTTGTTGCAAACTGGCTCTGAGACTACGGCATCCGTGCTGGTTGGCTTTGTCCAGGCCATGGTCCTCTTCCCAGACGTGGCCAAGACAGCGCAGGAAGAGCTGGACCGCGTCTGCGGTGGTCGCATGCCGAATCTTAATGATGTCCCAGATCTTGCATATATCCGTGCTTGTGCCAAGGAAACTTTACGATGGATGCCGGGTTTCATGTTGGGAATATCACACAGTGTGACCCAGGACGATACATATGAGGGATGACAACGGAGAAAGGAAAATCAGGGTAGATACTTCCTAGACCAAAACATGGCATTGGCAGGCACGAGAATCCTTGGCTACGCGCTGTAGTTGCCATGCCCCTACTAGCTCTTGCTGTTACTTCGTTCATTGTCATAGTTGGGTTGGTCCCGTTCGAACCGATCAAGGAAGTCCTGGCCAGTGACGTTTATCATCCATCGAACGGGGATCCTCGAATTCCCTCTCTGCAGAAGTTGTACCATGTGCCTTTCATTGACGACTTCACGCGCGTCGGCACCTTGGAATTCATGGTCAGCCGGGCCAACTGCTTCTTATTGATGTTATCGTTCTACGCCGATTACGGAGTTTGGTATGCTATAACGTTGATTGAGTCGGCACGAAGGGCCAGCCATTTGACGATACTGGTCCCGTAAGTATCCCGCCATGATTCGGTGGGGGAGAAGATGCCTAAGCTGACACGATTACCATATCGTGTCGTCGTATGGGGCATGTTGAACATGAGGGGAATTGCCTTGTTTGGAGCGCTCTATAAATCTTTTCACTACATCCTGAGTCCCATCTCTGCCTTCGACGCGTCTGACATGCGACTCACCGACATGACTTATACGGGATCAGCGCTGCCATCCGTTCTCATCGCTCACTTTACAACTTACCTCGGCGCTTTGCTTGGGCCAGACTCGAACCGCCGCCAGATAGCCGGTCATCTTTGGGCACTGTTTCCGCTCTGGATTTGTTTCATTCAGAACTTTGCCACACGCTACATCTTGAAGCCAAGCACTGTCGGCCGCGACCGTCTCTATAATCCCACGAGCGACTTGGTAGCCATACGCCGGACTGTTCTAATTCTCGTCGCGATGTCAACAATATCATGGCAGTACACAGTATACTGCGGCCGCGCATCACTTACCGAGTTGTTCTTCCCTGCTTTTCCCGTTCGCGATATCCGCGATCTCAACATGGAAGGTGCTTACGTACCTAGAGTTCCTGAAGTGGGACTGTGTGTTTTTCGCCCTCGGTAACATCTTCTGGATCGCACTGCTAGCGTGGGATATGAAAGCTGCAGGCATGGTTCGCACGAGCTGGTTAAATTTGGCCTTGTGCGGCATCGTTGTGACCCTCGTTGCCGGGCCTGGTACCTTTACGGACTTAGCTCGGCTATTTCGAGAGGAGATTCTGGCCAAAAGAAGGCATAAATATGCCATAGAACCCAGCGCTTTGTGAAAAGATACGATAGGTATGGGTGAATAGTTGTTGTATTAGTTGAGTTGTTCACCTCCGACAGAGGTTGGATGGTCAAAGATATATATATATATATATATGTGGAGAAGCATTCTACTTAATCATACAGTTTGACATGAACAACTCTTAATTTGACGGCAGTAGGGCTGCGTCTAGGCGGAATGCATACACTTGTGAAGGCAGCCTAGGTTTGGTTGAATCGAACAATCACGGATGTTGTTTAGCCAAACAGTAATGTCAAGGTCACCAAGACGAACAAGGTTGAATGACATTGGCTAGCTTCTAGAGCACAAAACATACGGCTTTCTAATATTTCAAAGCCAAAATTCGATTAGCTGGGATGAGAGTGAGCATTGTCTAAGACTATACGCCTCCCGTACATGATCTTCACCAAACAGGCAGTATTCGTCTTGGTTTCAGCCGCAGCCGTCTCTACCAGCTGCGTTTCGCTCTGGAACTGGACTACGTTGCGGTAGCGAAAGGATTTATGTCCATACTCCAGGTCTCGCAAAACCAATCAGCAGTCAGTCATTTCTGATAGCAAGACCACTTTTAGTGATGGCTGGTCCCTCCGCAATGTCGTGGGCATACTGGTACATAGTACCCGCACGCAGCACCATACAATCACACGTAGTCGAGTGTTCGGTCAACCCCCCCCCCC